GGTCAGGGAAACCCTCTCAGGCAGTCCAGCCACAACCACAAGCTGGGATTCTGGCGGTCAGGCAGGTCGATGGCGGCCGGGGGCAGAGGACCTGATGTGGTGGGAGGAGTGGCAGATGGCCAAACCACCAGGCCGTCTGGGCACCCAGCCTGAGGCTTCCCCACCGCCAGGCAACCCTTTCGGACCAGTGGAAAATGGGGACACTGAGGCCTGGATGGGGTCAGGACACCTGGCTTCCAGCCACTGCTTCTCTCCCTGCCTGAGGGGGAAACGGGCCCCGGGGGGAGGGGTGTGTAATACATACTCTGGGCTGGAGAAGCTTCTGGGGGTGAGAAGTGGGGGCGGGAGCTGGCCTGGGTTCGCTCAGTCCAGGACCCTCCACCACAAACCCCTCATCTGCTCTCTCTTCCCTCCTTCTAGCCTGGAGCTGGGAACTTCCAATCCAGGCTGAGGTAGACTGAGATCACAGGGTAACATGGGAGGGAGGTCAGAGGTCAAGGTCAGATCCTCAACTCCTCCCCTCCCATTCAGAGGGTCTGGTCCCAGGTTTTCCTAGCCTAGCCTTCTGGGAATGTGGGAGAGTCCTGGAGGAGCAGAGAGTCAGGGCCCCGTCCTCACACACATACAGAGGCCCACACAAGTCACAGACAGATCCGGAACTTGCAGCCATGGCAACACATGCACACTGAGATGCGCCCCAACTGTGCACACACACAGACACCCACAGATACGTGTACACTGCCACGAAACATTGATGTCTGAAGATGGTCCACACCACCTACACGCTGAGCCACTAGTGCAAGCACATGAATGGTCCTGCATGTGCACGGCAAGTCACATCCAAATGTGCACGCACAGGACTATACACAGAAGACTTGCACATGCGTGCACACTCCCCTAGATGGGCACATCCGGGTACACCCACCCTCAGGAAGGAACGAAAATACACAGATGGGCATACACAGACGCATCCAGCTCCAGATGGGCATACGGATATTTCCACCCCAGCCACGCACGCACACGCCCGCCCACTCCCAGCTATGCACAGCAAGCCCGCACCGCCCAGATGTGCCCATCCCAAGCAACTCCGAGCTACAAAACAGAACAGGAAGCTTCCCTCTACCGGTGCGGGAAGGAGGGCGGGGGCCGAGAACCGACACCCGGAGCTCCCTGCCCACCCGCCATCCGTCCTCACCGTGGATGCCCGTCTGGTGCGCCATGGCTCGGCGCTCCGAACCGCCCGCGCCGTCGGAGCCTCCAACGCTTGGCCCTGGCTCTGCTCGGATAGCCCTGGACCAGAAGGAGGATGTGCCGGTGATCTCCGAGCCTCGCGCAGCTTCCCGGGCGGTGCCGCAGGACCCGCCCCCAGCGACGCCCCGCCCCTGATGAAGGAGGCCTGGGGAGGCGGGGACTCGGGGGCGCGCGTGCGCACAGAGTGCGCCTTGGCCGGGGCGAGTCGTGGTTGGCCGTTGATCACCGTGTACGCGCGCCTGCGTGTGCCTCTGTGTAGGAGAAGGGTCTTACGTGTAGCCGAGCGTGGATAGGCCGACGCGCGTGTGCGTCTGTGCACCCTGGTCCCAGCCCGTGTGTGTGCGCAAGAGTCTGCACCTGGACCAGGTGCGTTTGCGAGTGGGGGCGTGTCCGTGTGCACCCCTGTGTCTGGGAAGGAGTCTTCGTGTGGATGGGCGCGCGCGTGTTTGTGTGCCATCCCTTCCCCAGAGAATGTTTCCTGAGCCCTTCCCGCGGGGCACTGGCCCTCAGGGCAACCATGGCCCTCACAGGCCTGGGTGGAGCCCAGGCAGGCCTCTAGCAGAGAATGCGAGGGGACTCTGAGACCAAATGTGGGCGGAGACCTGGAGAGGAGAATGGGCAGCCAGGCCGAGCATGAGAAGCGGAAACTGCATGTGCAAAGACCCAGAGGGTGAAGGAGGGCCAGAACTAGGGGTGTCTGAGGACCTTCCCAACTGCTAATGCACTTGTCTCTGTACCAGCAGCTTGGCCTTCCCTGGCATCAGACCTGCCCGCTGCTACCAGCCAATCAGCACATTGTATCTTCCAAGCCATTGTGATTGAGTGGAGAAGAGCCTGTGATCCCAGTTCCTCCATCAGAGCTGGGGGGGCTCTGCAAAGGAGGCAGGTGCCTCTTGGGGCTGGGGTTGCCAAGATATGAAGAGGCTCTACCTGCTTCCCATCCTTGACTGGGCCATCTTGAGGCCCCTCAGCCCTGAGTTGCATGTCTCCTGAGAGTCCCAAACACAGCATTGAGGGGTTTTCATGTTCATCTCCCCCATGCACACCTGCGGTCTGGGCCTGTGGAGTTTGCTCACCACTGCCCCTGCTGGGGAAGATAAAGCCACCATGTGGCCCCATAGCTTACTCTGCAGAACATCTCATAGGCACGTCTTTCCTTGAGTCCTGCTACAGCCCAGAGGGGGGCCAGCAACCTGGAGCAACTGCTTACGTCAGCTCAGGCCTGGCCACCTCCACAGCAGCAGTTGGTGATTCCTTAACCTCCTGGGAACAGGAGTTACCCTAGATCAGTGAAAAATAATAAGGTCCTGTCCTCTGTAAACACATCTCTGTGGGATGAACTGCAATAAGGCAGGTTGCTGATGATGACCTCCTTACTGCAAGGTCTTCCCTGCTGCCTGGCCAGCCCTCTCCCTGCACTGTTCTCTTTGCTTTTATCACTGCCTGACACATGAGGGTGTCTCGAGAAAGTTCATGGAATGATGCAATGAAAGTGTCAGTTTACTATAGTGTAAAAACATTTCAAAAGAACCAGCAGGTGGTGTGAAGGTGAAGAGGCTGGATTCCATATGGCCAATTCTGTTGTTCGAATCCGGACCTGGTGACTTGAAAAACATGCTGAAGGACCAGCAGATGGCGTGATGCCTACCTTGCTGGACTCTCATATAGTCGACTGACGTTCGAATCCTGGACCCGGTGGCTTAAAGTCATGCCGGGCGTGTGTGCGTGCATGCCTAAAATCCTAATAGAAGAATGGAGGAGAAGAGATTGCAGTGTGGCCATCCCCCCTGGGGGGTGATTTCTCACTTTCTCTCTCTTTTGGGTGAGCGCACACGCTCTCTAGCAAAAACCCTCTCAGAAAAAAAAAAAAAAAAAAACATGCTGAGCATGTGTGCATGCCCAGGTCCCAAGAGAAGAATGGAGGAGAAAAGATTCTGGCGTGGCCATCCCTTTGGGGAGGTGATTTCTCACTTCTTCACTCTTTGTCTCTCTCTGGTGAATGCATGTGCTCTTTGCCAAAAATCTAAAAAGGAAAAAAAATGTTGATATCCATGCCATTTTTCCATAATATGCATTTCCCATGAACTTTCTGAAGACCCCGCACGTATGTACTTGTTTATTGACTCCCCCCACCAGTAGGTAAGTGTTTGCCCCTGCTATCTCCTTCTTGCCTAGAATAGTGCCCGACATTGGTAGGTTGTCAGTAATTGCCAAATGAACATAGGTGTGAGTGAACCATGAGCGCCCCTGTGTTGCACACTGCCTACACGCTAGGCTCATTTACTGAATCCTGATGTCGGTGTTAGTGTCTCTACCTTACTCAGATCTGGAGAAGCAAAGTGATTTGATGCAGGTCACATGGTAGTGGACATGCCCCAGAACCAACTCGATTGAGAAGTCAGAGAAAGGGAAGTCCTATTGGGCAGTGGCCCTCAATCCTTCCAGTGGGTTTCACTGCAGCGATGGGGATTAAAACTGGGATACAGGGGGCCAGAGGGTGGCGTGGTGGTTAAGGACGCTGGACTCCCACATGGCCGACTGCGGTTCAAGCCCCGGACCTGGTAACTTACTTTCTCTCTCTCTCTCTCACTCTGTCCCTCTCTGGTCAAATTAAAATAAGTAAATAAATAAAGTCAAATTAAAAAAAAAAAAAAAAAACTGGGATACAGGGAGTAAGCCCAGTCCTGCTCAGCCTCAGCTCCAGGTTGCATGTGGGGAACCCAAGGGCCAGGGGAGTACCAAACAGACTCCGCTTCCCACTGAGATCTACTTTCCGGCAGGAAGATAAGAAAGCTGCCTGCTCCAATGAGTCCAGAGGTGAACAGTGTCCAGGATCGGGCTGGATGCCCCTTTCTGATGTTTCTCAGCCATTGAAATTGTAGCAAACATTTTTTCCAGGTAGATTCAAGATTTAAATGTTAGAAAAGTAAACTGCAGGAGCCAGCAGGTGGCGCTGTGGTCAAGGCGCTGGATTCCACACGGCCACCTCTGCTGTCTGAGTCCTGGACTCAGCGCTTGAAAAACATGCTGGGTACATGTACATTTGTGCTCCATTCCCGGGAGGAGAAAGAGAAGGGACTGTGGCATGGCCATCCCCCAGGGGTGATTTCTTTCCCTCTCTGTCTCTCTCCCAGTAAGCAGAAGCACCATATGGTCTAGAAAAAAAAAAGTAAACTACAAATACTAACGAAATAGCAGTGTATAGAGCCTTGGAGTGGAGAAGGCCTTCTGAGTATGTCGCCAAAGCCGGGAAGTATAAAAGAGAAGATCAGTAAATTCACTTACATTAAAAATGGAAATAGAAACGGGCCAGCAGGTTGCGTGGTGGTTAAGGGCAGGACTCCCATGTGGCTGACCACAGTTGGAGTCCCAGACCTGACAGAGGTGACTTCCCACTTTCCTTTTCTCTCACTCTTTGTCTCTCTCTGGTCAGCACATGTGCCCAATGGCAAAAAAAAAAAAAAAAAAAATCATTTTACTTAGCTTTATTTATTATCATTATTATTGTTATTATTTAATTTGACCAGTTAGAGACACACAGAGAGAGAGAGGGAAAGGACTCGAATTGCAGTCGGCCATGTGGGAGTCCATTGCCTCTAACCATCATGCCACCTGCCAGCCCCCAAGAGCAATTTTTTTTCCAATAGCAAATTTTTAAAAGAGTAATAATAGGGGGCTGGCAGGTGGTGTAGTTGTTAGGGGCACTGGACTCACATGGCCAACTGTGGTTCAAGTCTTGGACCTGGCGGCTTGATTCCTCACTATCCTTCTCTCTCTGCCTCTCTCTGGTCAAATAAAAATAATAATAATAATAAATAAAGTTAAATAACATTTTAAAAAGTAATAATAAGCTGAGGAGACAGTAAATTGGTGCAACCTCTATATAAGACAGTACTACAAAATTACATGTATCCCCTCCTTTGTAAATTGAGGTGTAAAATTCATTAACATAAAATGAACTATTTTACAGTGAACCATTCATTGCTGTGTTGTACGATTCATATTGTCATGTACCAACCACCCCTAGATCCAAAACATTTTCCCTATTCTAGAGTAAGACCCTGTCCTATTAGGCTGTTACTTCCTGTTCTCGCCTACCCAGCCCTGGTGCTCCCAATCTGCTTTCTGTTTCTAAGGATATTTCATATCATGGAAGCATACAATATGTGTCCTTCTGTGTCTGGTTTTTTAATCTCTTAGCATGATATAGTCAAAGTTCATGCATGTTGTGGTGTGGCTCCATGGCTTAGCAGTTAAGAGAGCCAGATCCCAGGGACCAGCAGATGGCGTAATGGTTACGTCTCTGGACTCCCATGCAGTTGACCACAGTTCGAGTCCTGGACTTGGCCTGCCCAAGCCTGAGAGGAGAATGGAGGAGAAGGAATTGCAGCCTAGTCATCCCCACTGTGTGGTTTCTCACTTTCTCTCTCCCTGTCTCTGTCTCTTTCCAGCAAGCACATCTGCTCTATGGTCCAAAAAAAAAAAAAAAAAAGTCTCAGAGCCATTGACTGGTGTGGGTGAGGAAGTGAGCCCACAAACTACATCTGGCCTGCCTCACCTTAGACCCCTGGTGCATTTATGTTCCAGTGACAGTTCTCGGCTCAGTGTCCTTTGAGAACACTTTGTCTTTGTCCCACCCCCTCACCAGCCCGAACAAGCACCATCCACCATGACTTCTCCCATCACTGGGGGCGAGGGGGGGGGGCCATGTACCTAGCTCTCTCCATCAGGTCTGGCCCCTGTCCCCAGTGTGGGCCTGGCACACACAGTGGGTTTAGTGAATGAGCCCCAGGCTGCTCTGGAGCTAGGTGGTCTGAGGATGGCTGTTGGGTACAGCTCTGCTCTGAGAACCTTCCTCTTGGGCCAGAGGAAATCTAGGAGGGGCAAGGCTGGCTGCTCGGAGGAAGCAAAGACTCTCTGAGGAGGGGAGGTGGGGATTCCTCCTATAGCCATCCCTGGGGGGATTGAGCTGCAGGGGGCCGTGGGACCTTGGGGGCTTTGAGTTGGCAAGCCCTGACTTCCTGGAGGAGGAAAGGGGAAGAGAAATCTTCGGTGGGGGTGGTTTGAGTCGGTTGTGCTGTCATAATGAAAACTGAGAACAGCACAGTCCTGGGTGGCTGGAGACTTCCCCTCCAGGGCCTCAAAGTCCTCCTTCCTTATGAAGTGGAAACAAGTCTGCCCCAGGGAGTTGGGCTTAAATGACAGAAGGAGGAGAAAGTGCTGGGTTAACACACTGATGTGCCGGCAGGGACAGCCCGCCAGGGAAGATGCTGCAACTTGCCCAGATGAAAGACTTCCACTTCCTTGACTTCCTGAACCCTGACCTTTGGGGGACCCCGAATTCCCCTTCCAGTCCCTTGACCCTCAGTGGCTCACTCTACTGAGGACCTTGCTGTCTGTCCAGAGGGGGCATCTTGGGCTGCCCCCTAGCCTGATGGTTAACGGAGTTGGCTCCCACATGGATGACCATGGATCAAATCCCATCCCTGAAAGCGTGAGAAACTCACGGTGTGTGTACTTGTGCACACGTGTACGTGCCCCAAATCCCAACAGGATGGAGAAATGGCAATGGGAATGCAGCTTGGGAATGCTTTCTCTCTGGCTCTCTCACATGCCCTTTGGCAATTAAAAAACAGGTGGTGCAGTGGTTAAGACGCTGGACTCACACATGGTTGACTGAAGTTTGAGTCCCAGACCCGGTGGCTTGAAAATCACACTGGGTATGTGTGCATGCCCACAATACTGAGAAAACGGAGAAGGTATTCTGGCATGGTTAGCCCTCCTTAGGGGTGATTTCTGAGTTTCCTACTGTCTCTGGCAAGACAGTGCACACGTGCACTGTGGCAAAAACTCTCTCTCACACACACATAGGGCCAGCAGGTCCAAGTCCTGGGCCTGGTGACCTGAAAAACACTCCAGGCATATGTTCGTGAGTACCCAAAATCCCAAGAGGACAGTGGAGGAGAAGAGATTGTGGCATAGGCATCCCCTCTAGGGCAATTTCTCTCTCTGGCAAGGCACACTCTCTAAAGCAAACAAAAAACAGGACAACAGGAAGACTAGGGTGACCGGTGAGGCCAGCGAGGCCTCTTCTGGGGTGGGAGGCAAGGACAGGGCCAGCACCTGAGGGAACACTGTGCTCTGACAGGTTCTTGCTCAATGTGTCCAACACCTTCAAGGACATTCTGTCTCCATTTTCCCCTTGCGCAAGCTCCCCCGCCCAGCATAGGTGGCCTGAGGCCCTGCGGTGGACACTGGCCCAGCCTGGCGGACCAGGGTCTGCTCTGAAAGACCCTCCGTTGCCCAGTACGGGAGGGGAGGGGGTCTCAGGGCTGTGCCCCACAGGAGTGGGCAGGCAGTCCAGCTCAGCATTACCGTGGGCCTCAGTGTCCTTGTCTGTAAAGTGGGGCTGACAGCAGCGTTGGCTCCTGAGGGTCGTTTGTGAGGTCCACGCCCGCACGCAGGCGGCTTGCAAACTCCAGGCCCGAAGTTGGAGTTTGGGGGCGTCACCGCCTCGCCGCCGGGCCCCGCCCCCCGGCCCGCTTCCCGCCCCCCGCCCCCCGGGCCCCGGCGCCAGCCCGGTGCCCTACCGGCGGCCCCGCTTCCTGCGCGGCTCCAGCTCCAGCCCAGGCCCGGCCGACGCCTCGCGCCGCCCCGACTCCCGGCCTGTGCGCAGCCCAGCGCGGGGCCGCACGCTGCCCTGGAACGCAGGCTACGCCGAGTGAGTGCCCCGCCTCGGGCGACCCTTATCCTGGTACCCGCGACCCGGGAGCCCTGCCTGATCCAGCCTGGGGATCTGTGCTAACCTAGACGACAGGCTGAGCTGAGTGACATCCCCATCCCACCCGTGGATACTCCTTGTCCTTTGTGACTCCCGCCACCTGCGCCTTATCCCACTCCAGCCTTGTCGGGACTAGAGGCTGGAGTCGGGAAGGACCCTCGCCCTTTCCAAACTGAGGTCCAGAGACTGGGTGGAGTGCTAGCCGTCTGGGCCTTGGAGATGTTCCCAAGAGCTCCACCCCGCGCGTCTCACCCTGGCATGTAGCCTTTGCATATAGGACAGGGTCCCGGCTGAGATGGGACAGGGTTGGAAGGGCCACCCAAGACCTCCCAGGTAGCCTGCCCGTGCGTCCTGGCCTGGGTCAGTAGGCTCCACAGGTCCAGGGCCCTGACTTCGCCTTAGCGGTGAGGCCGCGGAGCAGCCAGGACACTGACATTGTGATTGTCCAGGTCAGTTGTCAGCATGGGGGAGCCGTTGCCCCCGAGGGTGGGGTCCTTCACTGCACTAGCTTGGATCTTTGAGCCCGTGGGGAAATAGGTGTGTCCCTAAAGGGTCACTCACTACTTCCTGGCCTCAGGATCATCAACGCAGAGAAATCAGAGTTCAACGAAGATCAAGCTGCCTGTGGGAAGCTGTGCATCCGGCGATGTGAGTTTGGGACCACGGAGGACCAAGAGTGGCTGACTCTGTGCCCAGAGGAGGTGAGCCTCTCTGACAGGCTGAGGGTCTTGCCCTCCACGTCCTGGTTCAGGCTGGGCCACGGGATGACTGGGGAAGCCATGCAGGGCCTGACACCCAGCCCTTCCCATGCAGCTGTTGACGGGTCATTACTGGGCACTGTTTGACGGGCACGGAGGTCCTGTGGCAGCCATCCTGGCCGCCAACACTCTGCACTCCTGCCTGCGCCGGCAGTTGGAGGCCGTGGTAGAGGGCATGGTGGCCGTTCAGCCACCCATGCACCTCAGTGGCCGCTGCGTGTGCTCCAGCGACCCCCAGTTCGTGGAGGAAAAGGGCATCAGGGCAGAAGACTTGGTGATTGGGGCTCTGGAGAGCGCCTTCCAGGAATGTGTGAGTGCCTTTGGCAGGGGACTGCAGGAAGGCTTCACCCGCGGCCAAGGGAGTGGGGCATCCCAGCGGTGCTCCCCTGGATCCTTGATTAGAAAGACATCATACCCTCTGTCCTGCACCTGCTGTCTGCCTTAGGTGCTTTTACCTGCATCACCTCATCGCACATCCTGTTGGTCCTGGTGGAGGGGCTGGTTTCTCTTCCTGTTCTGAGTAGCACTTCCCATCTAGCTCTCCTGACTACAGGGATCCTGGAGGACAGGCTGGGCTCTGGGCTGCTGGGCTGCTGGGCTGGCTGGTGGGAAATGAACCGTAGGGTGGGGCTGGGGGGACAAAGTAGTACGGTGGCAGTACAGGCTACGGCTAAGGTGGCCTCCGGTTTGCCCCAGGATGAGGTGATCGGGCGGGAGCTGGAGGCCTCAGGTCAGGTGGGCGGCTGCACTGCTCTGGTGGCTGTGTCCCTGCAGGGAAAGCTGTTCGTGGCCAATGCTGGGGATAGCAGGTAAGTGAGCCCTTGGGAGGATGGCCAGGGGTACCAGATGTAGTGGGGACAGGAAGGGGTGGCTGGAAGCAGAGGACTGCAACGGGGAGGACTGACTGGCGGAGTTGTGTGTATATGTGTGGAGTGTGAGGGTGCATACGTGTGGAGTGTGAGGGTGTATACGTGTGGAGTGTGAGGGTGCATACGTGTGGAGTGTGAGGGTGCATACGTGCGGAGTGTGAGGGGGCATATGTGCATACGTGTGGTGTGCGGGTGCATACGTGTGGAGTGTGAGGGTGCATACGTGTGGAGTGTGAGGGTGCATACGTGTGGAGTGTGAGGGCGCATATGTGTGGAGTGAGGGTGCATACGTGTGGAGTGTGAGGGTGCATACGTGTGGAGTGTGAGCGTGCATATGTGTGGAGTGTGAGGGTGTATACGTGTGGAGAGAGGGTGGCAGCTGAACCAGGACAGTTTGGCCAGGCCAAACAGCTGAGCCTTCACCCTGTAGGTCGTGGGCAGTTATAGAGGCCTCTGAGCAAAGAATGGCATGGCAGAGCTAGCTGGAGGAAGGACTGGCAGTGGGGTGGCCATGGATGCCGGAGGCTGCCTCACAGACCACCCCTCCCTTCCTACACCCATGCAGGGCCATCTTGGTGCGCAGAGACGAGGTACGGCCGCTGAGCTCTGAGTTCACCCCAGAGACCGAGCGGCAGCGAATCCAGCACCTGGTAGGTGCCCTGGTGGGGGTGGGGGGGTAGGGGAGGGCAGGCAACTCCTAGTTCAGGGCCATAAGAGGGAGCTTGACCTGACTGTGGCTTCCCCACCTCAGGCCTTTGTCTACCCTGAGCTTCTGGCTGGTGAGTTTACCCGACTGGAGTTCCCTCGTCGACTAAAGGGGGACGACTTGGGGCAGAAGGTTTTGTTCAGGGATCACCACATGAACGGCTGGTGAGTGGAGTGGGCTGAGACCTGGCGAGAAGGGAGAGGGTGGGGTGTGGGGCCCAGGCTGATGCTGGGTCTGGTCCCGGTAGGAGCTACAAACGAGTGGAGAAATCGGACCTCAAGTACCCACTGATCCATGGGCAGGGTAGGCAGGTCAGTGCCTGGCCCCCTCAAGAATCCCTCTTCAGCCGCCCTGGACAGTTGTGAGCCCTCCTTTGTCCCTTGCTGGGGACTACAGCCGCGTCCTGGGGTCCGCCCAAAGACCGGGGTGTTTCTCCCTGAGCCCACTGCTCCCTGTGTGCTCTGCATTTGCTGGAGCTCAGCGCCACGGCATCACACCCTACTTACCCCCAGGCTCGGTTACTGGGAACACTGGCTGTCTCCCGGGGACTGGGGGACCATCAGCTCAGAGTCCTGGACACGAACATCCAGCTCAAGCCCTTTTTGCTCTCCATCCCACAGGTGAGAGGGCAAGAGTCTGCCCCTCCTTCCACCTGCCAGGAGGCATGCAGTGGGTTGGGGGAGCAGGGGAGGGAGCGCTGAAGGACTCTCAGGCTTGACTTGCAGGTAACTGTGCTGGATGTGGACCAGCTGGAGCTGCAGGAGGAGGACGTGGTTGTCATGGCGACTGATGGGCTCTGGGATGTCCTGTCCAATGAGCAGGTTGCATGGCTGGTGCGGAGCTTCCTCTCTGAGAACCGGGAGGACCCACACAGGTACTGTCGCTGCCGGGGACCTGTCTGGGTCTGAGCTGGTCCCAGCAGCAGCACTCAGCGACTATGGCTGAGATGACAGTGCTGACAGTAAGCCCAGCTCAGGGCAGGCGGCCAGAACCCGGGCTGTTGCAAGCTCCGTGGGTGGGGATGGGGGCTGATCATGGGTTCTGAACATCTCTGGGTCCAGACTCCAGCGGGCTAACCTGTGGCCCTCCCAGGCTTGTTGATTGCTTGGCCTTCAGTCCGACTGCATTGTTGGGGTCCCCGAGTTTCCAGCCCATACAGGGGGTTCTCCCAGAGAGCTGGCTTTGCCCCTTTATTCTGCCCCTGAAATACATCTGCAAGATGTATTTCTTCACAGGTTCTCGGAGCTGGCGCGAATGCTGATACACAGCACACAGGGGAAGGACAGTCCTACAGGGGAAGGGCAGGTGTCCTACGATGACGTCTCTGTGTTCGTGATCCCCTTGCATAGCCAGGGCCAAGGGAGCAGTGGCCACTGAGGGTCCAGAAACTGCATCCCAGGAACACTCCAGGGCTGGGTGCAGTCTGGGTATCCCTCTGCTGTGGCCAACGACAGGCCTGCCTGCCCCACCCCCAGCCTAGCCCAGTGCCATTGCCTTCCACCCCAACTTACATGCCAAGGGGGAACATCTGTGCTAGGCAATCAGAACTGGAAGGGTGTGGGGGGCCCAGCCCACCCAGTCCCGGCTTCTGCAATAACATCCCTCTGCAGACGTACTTCACAGCCTGGGAAACCCATGCAAGGCTCTCAGGCAGGATCCTCAACAGCCCCGGGTGTCATTCTCAGGTAGGGACACCCAGGTCATGCTGGGATCCAGGTCTCCAACCCATGAAGGTCAGAACATCCATTTAGCAACCCGAGTCCAGAGAGTTCCTTGTAGAAGCCTTTGGACAGCCTCACTTGGGCTGGAGCTGCCATCTTGAAGGCACAGTGCCCAGACAGGCTCAGGGCCTGGGGCTAAAGTTGGGGGTGGGGGCAAGAGCCCCCAGAGCTGGCTGGGCAGGAAGTAGTATCCGACCGCTACCTCTAACCTGGCCTACTACCTGATTGCTCCTCTAAGGTCCCTGCCCTAGCCTGACGCCCCAGTTCCGGTGCTTTGTAGCTCCCATCACCTCCTATTAAGTTTGTGTGGGAGCTGGCAGGTGGTGTGGCTAAGATGCTGACTCACACGTCCATCAGAAGTTTGAGTTCCAGACCTGGTGGCTTGCTTTTTCTCTTACCCTCTGGTCAAATTTAAATAGCAACAAATAAAATTAAATCAATAAATACTTCTTTTAAAAAGGTTTTCTTTAAAAAAAAAACCCTGTTGTGTGAAGAGCCCTCATGAACCAGATTACTATGTAGCTTGGGCTGAGGACATCTATTCCTCCTGGTGGACTAGTCTGAGCTCCACGTTGCATGACTTTTTCCTCTGCAGCTCTCGAGAAAGCTAGTTCTCTGCTTGGTGAGCCCTAGCAAGGGAACTGTTGCCCAGAGAATAGTTTACCATCGCCTCTGAGCTCTATGCTCAAGGTAACAAAGAGCTGCCTTTCCACTTGCTTTCTTATGATGGAGAATGAGCACACCCACCTGTGAGTGAGAAAGAGGGAGGGAAGGAGCAAGCGGGGGGTGGGGACACATTCCCCATAGGGCCACACCATGACTCCCTTCCTCCAGTCCTCCAAACTGTCAAATCCTGTGTACCTGTGCTGTGCAGGGCGGGTTCCGGGTGGTCTGGCCCGGGTGGCACCTTGATTCTCTTCCTCCAGCCATCCAGCCTGGCTGATCCTGGGCACTTACAGTATGCAGTATGTGTTCCGGCTTGAGGACTTGAACCTCTTACCATATAGAATGTGCCTGAGAGTACTAACATTGTACCACAGAGCTTGTCCTTCGTTTGCTTTTGAATGCACATTTCTAGACTTAGTTGGAGACAAGTTAGTTGGGGTCTGAGGGCTTGCTGTTTGCTAGCGGCTTAGTTCTCCACCTTCTCCACAAGACTGCTGTCATCCAGAACTTACCCATGCTCAGGAAGTACTTGCTGAATTACAGGTGAGCCGGCTCTACAATCTCAGCTTTACCTGACTCTCCCGATTCCTTCATTAGTTTACAACTGAGATGAAGTTTCCTGCTAGGCAACTCCCAGCCCTACCTCGACTGCAGCCAAGAAGATCCAACAGACCCCCAAGTTGAGGGTAAAACCTGGTATTTATCTGAAAGGCTCTCAGATCCCCTTACTTGCCCACTCCTCCCTTCAGATTTCATTTTTTTTTGTCATAAGGCCTATGTGCTCTCTGGAGAGCGAGAGAGAGGAAGAAAGCACCCCTCAGGGAGGATGGCCACACCACAATCCCTTCTCCATTCTCATCAGAGGTTTGAGCATTCCATGTGTGTCTCAAGCTGCTAGTCCATGACTTGAACCTTGCAGTTGGCCACCTGGATGCCAGATGCCTTAAGCTCCGCCATTTCCCTTTCCCATAGCTAAATTCCACAGCCCTGGACTTGCAGCCCTGGACAGCCCTTTCTGTCCACAGCTGGGTCCTGACAAACTAGTTGGCCCTTGAAGCTCCAGGCAGCCTGGCAAATGCACAGGCGCTGCCCTACCAGCCAGGAGGAGTGCTATTTCCTCTTTGCTCAGCACAGCTCTCCCCTCCCCTGAGCGAAGCGTGGGCAGCATCCTGTGCCTGCTTTTTACCCACAACCCACATCACCTGCTGAGCCAGCTCGCCCCCACAGCCTGCCTGCTTTGTTCCAACCCAGCCTACTCCCTGCTCTTGCTCCTCACTCAGCTGGACGGACCAAAGCAGGGGTCCAGTGGATCTCTGAATCATAAGCAGGTCAAACTAAAAGGAAGAGGAGTGGCTGCTGTAAGGGCGGCCATGCTATCTACTTGTTCTGTCTCCGGCAGAGCCAGCCTTGCCCCTAGGCTGTGAGCTCTCTTCCTTCCTGAGTAGTCTGTCATGTCGGGAAAGCCTGTGTGTGGCCTACGGCACACTGGCCACTGCCTGTCAGGAACTGCAGACGATCTTCAATGACCATGGCCAGAGTGGCAGGCCAGGGTTTTCTGTGGTTCAGAGGGCTGGGCAGGAGACAGGATCAGGTCTTGTAGCTCTGAAGATGCTGAGCTGAAGCAGGCTCTGGTAACTACCAGCATACCAGCCAGGCAGTGGCTCACCCAGCAATTTGTAGGCCTTCCTCCAGACCCAGTGCAAGAGCTTTAAAGAGTCCTCTCTGTCCTTGCCCTTCAGGAGCCGGGTGAACCTTAAATCTGAGGTTGCCAATCTGATCAAAGGTAGAGGTAAACAAAGGCGGGACATAAGGCAGCCTGAGCTGTGTGCCAGATGGAGTCTTTGAAGAAAGTTGGCATGGCTTGTCTTTCCCAGTCACTCATTTCTGGTCCCCTGGCTGTTCAATAGAGCCTGGGGTTGAGGACTACCCAGGCCTTAGTTACCAGGAGGCAGGCAGGGTCAGTCTGGGACCCGACAATCCATCCACACAGCATCATAGTGATCCTTGTAAACCAGGAGAGCTAACTAAAGACAACTCATCCCTCCCTCCGATTCTGGGAACCAGGGTAAACAATGCTACAGAAATTGCAGCCATACAATTCTGTTTAAGACTGATAACATGGAAAAAATGTTTATATGTTAAGTACAAAAGGGACATAAAATTGTATATACAGTAGAATAACAACTATGTAAACACACCAAAACCTATGCACAGAAATGTCTAGAGGAACATTTAACATCAAAAGATTAACAGTGGTAGCATTTGGGTGGCAAACTGATTCTTTTTTTAAATCCCCAAATTTCCCTTAATAAGCAGTAATTATGATTGCAACGAGGAATAATTTTTTTAAGAAATACCCCACTGGCTGGTGCTTGAACAATACAGTGTTGCTGTCACATACAAATTGGTGACTATGGATGGCCCTGATTCTTAAGAGAGGGTGCGCATGGCGGGCTCTCCCTATGAGCACCGGCAGCCCTGCCTCGGCCTCATCTCTGTTACTCTCTCATCCTCTTCAGTTACTACCAACTACATCTTTTCTCCTTTCTTCCCAGCTCAGAAGCTGGCTCTGCAGCCACAGGGCTAGGAAATAAAGGCCATGAAATGGCATGTTTCCAAAGGACACTGTGCCTTAGCTCTGGATACACAGTAACTCAAACACAAGTCATTTTCCTGCTGCTGGGAAGTCAGGCTTGGTGGCTACTCTGGTTTCAGATATGTTCCACAATGCAGCTTTTCTTGTTACCCCCCTAGTTCCAAGCACTCTCGGAATAATGACTCCTATCGTGAGTTTTCTGCCCTGAAAAGCCAGGGGTAGGCAGTAACAGCTCAGATCATTTGGTTTCTAAAGGTCCCTCACTCTGGGCTACACAGTGGGGGGTTCCACATGGGGGGCACCGCAGCAATTACAGATTTCAACTACATTTGGGCGAAGTGTACGCCTCTTTCTCTTTCAGTCAGAGGAACAAATCAAAAAGTAATTGCTTTAAGAAAAAAAAAGTGCTAGTGATTCACAGCCTATTCTTGCTGCTAAACAGAGCACTAATGGCTCGATTTACCCCCTAGCAACGATGTACTCTTGGGCAGGACATAACCTTATTGAGCCTCAGTTTCTAGATCTGCAGGGAGTGGTGCCTACATAAATGTTTGGGAGCTTTGTGAAATAACATGCCACTCATTGTGCTCTAAGAAGACCATGCGTGGGAAGAAAAGGCCATGAGACCATGAGACCGCTGTAGCTTATCTCATTCTGGGCCTGGCTAGAGCCCTTCTCTCTCCCAAAGGAAACCAAGGACAAACAGCAAGAAATCAAGACATAGCAGGTAGATGAGTGACCTGTAGTTAGCAAAGAATCCTTGGACAAACCGAAACTGCTCTGGTTCCAGTATCCTGTCCCCCAAGTGCCGTAAGCCAGACACAGAAGCCATGCAAGAGTGACCATCACACATACACAGGCACAAACAGAGCATCACCAGGCAAAGGGGACTAATACTGCAGAGAAGGCCCCAGAGTGCAGCGTGAGAAACACAAGGAAGTCATTCCGAGACCCTCACCCTTAGCTGCCATGGAAACAGCGAACACTAGAAGCTTTGCTTCATTCAGTCTCCCAAGGAAAAAGATAATAGGGAAGACTCACTAACACTTGTGGCAAACACTATTAGTAATAATGCAGTCTTTCTCTTGGGCTGCAAGGCTCCATCTCCTTTGGGCTAAACTCAGAACTACAGATGAAGATAGATAGATATATGCATACACACACACATATATGCATATATGTATGCACACACGGATATATTCAAATGAAGATGGACGCTGTGCTAACATACAAACAGAAATCAAAGGTCATATATAAAAAGGCTAAATATAACATATAACACAGGCCTAGGACCAGCTCTCAGCTAGGAGCTGGGGAAGGGGTGGTATCATCCAGAGACTATGTACAGAATCTGTGGTGGGCAGGGAAGGCATCAGTGTAAACAACTCAGACTCACTCCACAATACTGGCCCACAGAGAAGCGTGATGTGTCTCGTATACAAAAATAGACTCCCACCTTGCTTCTGTACAAACAAGCTCAAGCTCAGTAAGCATCCAGGAGGACTATAGGTTTGTCTACATGTCGGGAACTATACTGAGCTGCTGCTAAATCTTCCAGCCTTAAGAACTTACCTGCTACCCTCATCCCGCCCTTTCAAGCTCTTGGGCCTTTTCCCACCCAATACCCAAAGCCCAAGGCCTGCCCAGAACACCCACCCTCAACACGACTAACTGCATGGCTTCCTGGCAAGCAAGGTCCGTCTGTACCTGTCCCTTTCTCTGACCCCAGGACATAGGAAAACTTTCTGTTAATGTTTGGCACCTAAGAAACATGATGATTGTGGAATAATGCCACAATTACACAGGGAGACCCAGTAACAAGACATGCAGGGTGAGGGCAAGGGGTGCCGAACTGTCATAGCATCTCAAAACCAGAACTGTGACTTCCCATGCATTTATGGGGTGGAAGTGATGTGCAGAAGTGACGACTTCACCAGCTCCTCAGCAGCAAATACATTCAAAATTGAAGGCGTCTTGAGAGCCCCACACTCTCTAGTCATGAGTCTGGTCACTCCTCAAGGAACTTGGTTCAGTGAGAACTGGAAAAGCTGAGTCCCATCTGAGTCTGCCACACCAAGAGCCCTTTTGAAGAAGCTCAGCCAAGTAATTTCTTCCTTTTGAGTCGATGTACAACACATCCACGGGAAGGCCATGTGAAAGGATGTTCTCCAGCTCAGTCAAATGATCCAATCCCACTACTGTCTCAGTCCCCTCTGAGTTTATTCCTGCCGGCTGCCCTCACTGTACAGAAATAGCTGAGCAGCGCCAGGATCAGTCATCAATAGTGGGCAACCAGAAGGCCTGGAAGAAGAATGTAAGCCAACTTTAAAATGCTAAGCATCTCCTCACTGTTGTGGGTTTTCCACTCCACAGCATCCAGGTGCTCAACCCTAGTGGTGGAAGAGTTGAGGCTCGCGGTCTCCCCTCCTGGCAGTCTATGGAGATGGAAACACTCTCCCCTCCATGCGAAAGCGAGCTGGTTCTGCCCCTCTGATATGCACTGTCCCCCTTTCACCACAGAGGTCCTGTTCTGAAAGGGAAAGGAGGAGTGCTGGCCAGAAGGTGGGTCTCTGCTACTAAGCTACTTGGTCATCTCAGATAGGCCTTCCTCCTAAGCCATAAGCCATAGGGTTTAGACTGGGGAGTCTGGCCGCACTTCTGACAATTTTTCATTTAAAAAAAGAGAGAGAGGAAGATGTACTTGGGGTGGGCTAATAATGGAATGCCTCATCTCCTAATTAGATAGCTTTAGGAGATCCCAAAAGGAACTGGAGGCTGAGAGGCAGGAATCCTTTGTTCTAGGAATAGACAAAGTGTCTAGGTATCTAGGACTAGACCAGGGCCTAGAGTTAATTCTAAGTGGTGATCAATGATAAGAATTTCTGAGAACTTTAGCATAAACCTAGAGAAAAGGAAAACTGAAAGGCTGTAATCACAAAAGGCTAGTTCAGAGTATTATGAAGAAACTAAAAAGCTTGTGAAGTGTAGCCTAGGTAGTTTGGGCCTATAAACAGAGATCAGAACAAAAACCAGTCTGTGATCTCCTGGGAGGTCAGAAGTGACCCCAGATTAGGGGAAGAAGAATAAAAGACCACTTCAACCAAAGATCATATAACAGGTGAAACAGGGAAGTCACCAGTTGAGAAATGTGAACTTGGATATCTACATAGAACACAGCTTGCTGTGCCTGTTGAGACCCATGACCCCCACTGGAAAGGGCTCCTACGTAAATGACACTTCTCATTGTTCACATACCATGTTGGAACAGGCGCTGGCAAAGGTCATGAACTTGGGGTTGAACTGCAAACAGGTAATGGGGCCTGTGTGTTTACCATCCAACACGGCGACTTTTATACCACTCTCTCCATTCCAGACATGGATCTTGCCATCCTCTGAACCTAAAGAGAATGATCAAGAAAGACATTTATGGCTCAAGGCACGTTACAAAGACAACAG